TATATATATATATATAAAAAAAAAAATCATAATCTTAAGGCGTAACGTTTGCAAAATACATTATACGTTACCTCCAGTCACTACTGAGGCAAGAAAATACTGAGGCGTGTTAGTTATGTAATAATTAAAATCTCTATACAGCCCAAATCTACAAAAAATGGAAATCTTGCAAAAGTTACTACATATTAAATAATTCTGTCACAAGGCACAAAAGCATCCTTTTCCTCTCATGCCTCCACATGGAGGTACAGGCGGTGCGCCACATATACATGACAGGTAGTGCCTACATTGAAGGCGGCGTCCCCGCGTCGATGGCCAAACATCTCATGCCCTCGAGGACGCTCCGCAGGGCCGCAGTCATGGACTCGTACACTTTGCTTCCGTCCTCCGAGTTGTTTCCCACCTGCTCAAAAGCAAACAAGGCTCCCAAGTTGTTGAAACAAAACCAATGGCAAGAAATTTAATTGTTGAGATGAATCACAAATAATTAGGTGTGTTGATTTTCTCACCCAGGTGAAAGCCTTGATTGTACGATTCAGGAAAGCGTTCTCCACCTCTTCTGGTATCGCCAGCATGTGAGCCATACAGTCTAGTATGCACGTCAGTGTTTGCTGAGAGGCCTGGGAAGAGATGAACACGAGGGGTTAAAGGGAGCGTCGCAGTCCAGGCGATTCTTCGTCGCACTGCCGTTTGATTAAAAGTGCAATCGGCAACAGAACGCACTGACCTGGTCCAGAGCGTTGAGGACGGTTTTAGCGTCGCCGTTCAGGGCTTTGGCTTCCTGGACGGAGATGACCGGCTCTTTGAGCTGCTCCAGCCACGCCCACATGAGCCCGGTGAGGATGAAGGGATCCCGCTCCATGAACAGCCTTTCCCAGCCACCGCCTTGGTTCAGTTCTGCCTGCGCACATTCAGGCAGTCGTGTTGTTAGACCCTGTCTGTCTGCATTTGACTGAGGCAACTTATTGAGACACCTTCAGTTAGAATATACCTGTCCTTATAGCATCTTTGGAATTATCATTTTTATACTACCTGCAGGAGTCAATTTGTGTGGGTTGTTGTACTTTAGTTTTACTCCTTTGTTGTTTAGTAAATGTGATAAGGTAGCACATCCCAGATTTCAAAATCACGGAGGACAAAATATTAGCATTTCATCTGTTTAGTTCGCTTCTTCGGAACGTTTTTAAGTACACAGATTCACAGACTCCGTTCCCGTGGCTCGAGATACAGGAACCAATCACAAGCATATCGTTAAATCTGATCTAAACCCCATTACATACTGTACTGGGCTCCACAAAACACTGTTTCTGGCCATCGTTGGTTCACTGTTAAGATAATACACTAGATGGGACACTTGAGTAAACCTTATTCATTTGTAATTATAGGAGATGATCCTATATCACTTTCTTGTTTGTCATGCAGAAAGAAAATCAACTCAAAATAAAACGTCAGGGCAAGGCACTAGTGTGCACACGATAACAAAGTCTTTGTGATGGACAAATTCAAGTATTTATATAATTTTGGATGCATTTCTACACATGTCGCCACATCACTGGTATAGGTCAGTTACCTGCCAGGCCAAGACTTTGTTCTTGTGCTCTTTTTCCCCATCAAGAGAAAGGTCCACTGCCAGGGCCTGAGCCACTAGAAGCCTCCTGGCATCCAGGGACAGCTCTGTCTGCAGGGTGATGAAGGGCACCTCTGAATGCTCCTCTTCTCCATCTCGAGGCTTCATCCCATTCATCTCTAACTTCCTCCTCTGCTCTGCCTTCCACCTGGACAACATCGCACCGTATTTGGGGGATTCATTGTTTGTGAAGGACTCGCTACGTTGGATGGTTTTCTGCTGCATCTTCTTCAGCAGACTGGACCCGCCTCTCTGGTTTTCTATGTTCTTCATTTCCCAGAGCGACCCCGATGAGCCGTGTGAAACGATGGCTGTGTTGCTTTTCCAACCTTGATGCTGGGCGGCAGGGTGCGTGGCCTCGGGCGGGGAAATGGACATTTCGACCGTGCTCTGCGACATGGAGCCCAGAGGTTGCGTGAGAAGGCTGAGCTGTGAGCCCAGCCGTCTCAAGTCTGACTCGCTGTAGCTCAGACTTTTGCGGTGGTAGAAGATGGGCGGCTCGTGGAAATGTCTGGGCAATGTGGGCGCGCCTGGTAAGCGGGGCTCCTTTGCAAATATCTCCGGGCCCATCTGCTCAATGTAGCTGAGAGTCATCTCTATGTCGTGGCTATCGGGCGCCTCCAGAATGTCTTCCTCAATCACCTGGCGGTTCTCCGCAATGTCCAACAGCAGCCTGGACACCAGCTGGACAATCTTTGGTCGGTGCCTCAGCTCCTTCCTCTCGTAGCCGTGCAGTATGTGTCTCTGGCGGTTCAGGTACTGGGACAGGGTGACCGGGTTGAATCGAGGCTCAGCGCGGGAGAACACGCTCCTCAAAGGGGCGAGGAACTGGACGAAATCTCTGACACAGCGCAGCTGACCCCGGGTCTGGATTGAGTTGGGGCGTTTAGCGCGAACGCACAAAATAGCCTGGTTAGCAGTCAACCTGGTTGCATAGGCCAAGAAACATGCTAACAGCACACCTGCAGGGCAGAAAGGGGAAACCCTTCATTGCGTGTCACGTTGTTCAGATTGAAAGACCAGACCACAACAACAATCCCTCACAAATCTCTACCTGTTCTGCCCAGACCGGCGTGACAGTGGACCGCTATCTTTCCCTCCTGCAGAGCGAAGGCCATGACCTTCACCATGTCCAGCACCGTGGTGAGGTTGGCCACCCCATAGTCACTCCAGCCAAAATTGTAGAAATAGACTGAAATGGCGAGATGTTTTTAGTTAAAAAAAAAAAACAATACACATGTATCAAGGATTATTGCATAAAGATGCACGTACTGTTGTTTTCCATGAAGACCTCTGGGCGGTAAGAGAAGCCGCTCTCTGGCTCCAGAGGGTTCCCGCAGCTGGCATGTTCACCAGGTATCTGTAGGTTGATCACTGTTTTAATACCATTCCTTGACACAGACGGAGACATCAACGGTTGATTATTCTCATTCTCAGGCGCTGTGGTTTTCTTAGTCAGGTGGCTGCGTGAAAGCAAAGTTGCGTATACCGTCTGAATTGGTCGATGATGTTGTACTTCTCAATGATTTCTGTTGAGGGTCTGGACATAGCGAGAAGATGATCAGAAACCCTGAAAACAATAACAAAAAGGTCAGCGGGGTGTACGGATACTGAAATCATTTGACATGTTTTGTTGTACTATCGCAACGAAAGAAGAAAAAGCATGCGTACCAGGACGAGTAGAGGCCTTTTATGGCCTGTTCTTTATCACTCCAGTAACTTGGGTTGTCATACTTGCAGGCTTGCCCTCCACAGCCGATTGAGCATTGCATGTGTCCGGGAATGACATAACGTATAGCTTCTCCTACCAGTGTGTACCTCGCCCTGGGGGCTCTGACTGGAGTTAATACGGGGGGGGGAGAAGAGGGGAAAAAAACGTGATTTTACACAAAGCTTGAATCTAAAATTGTACGTAATTTAATTGACCTGTTTATTGTATTTGATTTGCCCTCCAAAATCGAACTGAAGCTATTAGATGAGTGGTTTCTCAGCAGGGTGATATTAAGTAGTGCAGCACTGAGACGCCACCATATCTAGGTTGGTCTGTAACACCTGAATGATTAAGAACATCTGTGGTTAGTGCTCACTTAAAGAGGTGTCTAATCCTGACCTGGCACTGCAAGTCTGTCATCAGGGCATTACTTTAAAAATAGCCTCTCTTCTGGTGAAATACAAAACTGTAAACTACGGTTGTAGCTGACCACCTAATTGGCTTTTAGTCATTGAAGGAAACTCTTTTATTGGTGCCCGACGACCATCCTCACTTACTGTATTCCATCAGAGGTCCACCTCTTGTCTTTGTATGGAGTGCCATATGAACAGACGCTTAGGCTCACATCCACAGTCATAGCAGAGCCTGGACACACACATGTATCTGCCTCGTTACACTATGTGATACATGTCGTCATATGCATGCTGTAAACAAGTTGCTGCTGTACAAGCAACTGCTTTACATTAACCATGCAATGCAGTAAGCAGCTGCCTAATGGTCAGGATAATGCCTTTCATGAATATTTTTGGAAGAGAGAAGCACTTTCAAATACAAATTATGATCAAAGATCAACATCTTAAATCATATTCACTCTCATCTGTAAAGCAGACTTACTCTATTTTAAGGGATTGCTCTTCTTAGCTGGTAATTCTACATCACAGTACAAAGCTTGTCATTCTTCAACACAAAATATTCAACTTTGGTCTTTCCTTGTTATATAATTCAATCTAACAATAAATACAACACAGTAGAATTAAAAAGAAAACCTGAGTTACCTGTCGTAAGTGAGACGAGATGCCTGTAACCACCATCTACGCACACAAATGCTTCACCGCTGCAGTTGCCGACATTTGTGTCATCAACCTCCACCGCTCTCACGTCGCCCTGTCCCGTCTCCAGCTCTGTGGAAAGTCAATCCTGTGGCCTCGCTTGATTTGATTCGTCTCGGATTATCCCCGCGTGGCCGGGTGGGGCAAAACACAAGACACTCACAGGATCGCCTGCGCTCCTTTTGTGGAGAGCCGTCTATCTCCCCGAGGGGGTGACAGATCAAGCATGAGAATAAATTAACCTCAAGAATGTGTTAAAAAGGATTGTTCTCTCCATGAACAGGTTTCTGCGGCTCTATAAAGGGTGTGAGGGGGTTTGGGCTAATCCTGACTCCTCCTGGATTAGACGACTAATCTTGTTACCCTACATGCATAAAATAGAGCACCCACTCCTCAACAAAAAGTCATACTACAGCCACGTCACTATTGCCTTCTGCCGGACTGGTATGAGATACAATGATCCTCAATATATTCTGTCTGTTAATGCACATGTCGTCAGTTAAGACCTGTCCAACTGTCCGCCTAACCAGATTCCCCACATGTCTGAACTATATGCATGTTGTGCATAAGCTCAAACTGATTTTGGATCTGAAATGAACACACTGAAAGTCTCCTACTCTGCTGCCACAAATAGTGGGACCTCAGTGACGTATACAGCAAGTAGATAAGAAGTGATTAGCTTACACGACACCTTGCTAAAGCGGGTTAGGTTTAAATTAGGGGTGAGAGATCAATCTGTGATGTTCAGGATTTGGAGTGACTTCTGAGCCACAAGAAAAATATAAAAAATAAAACATGGACAACAAAAAAAGTAGAACAGATGTAAGTATAAACATGTAATATAAATATGAATATATATCAAAAAGTATATATGAACATAAACATATACAAGTAAGCCTATCTAGGCCTGATACAAAACTATACAACAATTCATAAAAGCTTAAGAACAGACAAGTTAATTCGTTTCATTTAAAGTAAAGCCATATAATAAATGTAATGAAAATAGGGAGAAAGGTGAAGGAACAAGTGTAACGTTACCCTCTTTGATGGATAGTATTAACGTTTTAAAAATGTCGCTGCAAGCTCGTTTAAGTGTAAATCAGGCCCTTTCATGTGCAGCCAAGAGGACAGAATGTGTGAAGTGCAGTGCATTATTTTTGAAATTATAAATTCATTAACGTTTCCGACAGATGGCAGCAGATATGCATTTGGCGACCGCTACGGAGCAGCATATAGCCTGTCTGTTCGTTCTATTTCTATGATAACAAACGGCTGGGACGGAGATTTCCGTGTTCCACATAAGCAAAGAAACAACGCCTGCTGGGAAATGAGTTCAGTTCCTGGTGTCGGCAAACCATTTTGTTTGGCTTTAAGTACTACGTGTACTACATTTCCCAACAAGCACTGCGGCCCTGCGTAGGCGCTGTCCCAGCTGGATGCGTAGCTCCAACTCATTTCAACAGACCGTTCAGCTGTTTCAAAAAAGCCGGTGTTGATGACATGCATTTAACGGAAGTTAATAGGTTGGGCCTTCAAAATAAAATAAGAGAGCTCTGACACTTCAATATTCTTTCATATACTATTGTTCACCCGTAAATATATTCACATTCTCATTTTATCAAGTAAGTAAAGCAAATTAAATCCACAACCACGCCCGCTCTAAAGCCTATTTCTTCACATATATTTGGAAAGTAGTTTTAGTTTGAAATTAAGAACCGGAAGTTCTTTATCATATCTCTTGTCCTGGCTGTTGGTACTCCCTGCTCGGCGCAATTGCTCCGACAAGCCCGGGGGAGAGGAGAAGGAAGCGCAGGAGCCTAACGATGGAGCAGTTTTAGGAGATAACGACGAGCTCCCCCGTCGTCATCTACATGACCAAAGAAAGAAGACCGGCAACCAGAAACGTAACCGTAACAATCATGCAATTTAAATACAGACGAATTTAAGCAACGCGCTTCATCTTCAAGGTTACTCCGCCTGAAGACGTCCCCGAACATCCTTCCCCTCCTTGTAACAGATCAGCTGGTTGATCGTCACCGGTACCGACCATGTCCGTGCAAGAGCAGGGCTACACCGACGCTATGCGGCTGATGGAGGCCGCGCCGCAGTGGGTGCTGCGGGCCGAGATCGAGCGTCTCTCCCGGGAGCTGAGTGAGACCACGAACGAGAAGATCCAGGCGGCGGAGTACGGACTGGTGGTGCTGGAGGAGAAGCAGCAGCTCAAACAGCAGTACGACGACCTGGAGATCGAGTACGAGACCGTGAGACAGGAGGTCGACCAGCTGAAAGAGGTAGGCTGCATTTTAAAATGACAGAATCAAAATATATTGTATTTATGTGCCCTACCCATCAACCCCAAAAACCCTGAACCTCAATTTGGAGCATGTACCCATTTGTTAGGGGCTACCAATCAATAATTATCATTGACCTTGTAGTTTTCTTTATTTTTTATAGTCTCATCACTACAGTATTCTATATATTGAATCGGTGTGCTGTGACATTTGGACAGGCATCAGCCGTAAAATAGCCATCTGTCTTTCATCCTACAAGGTCAAAAACTGCGGGATGAGGAGGGGATGCTCTGCATGCTCCTCACCCCACCCCCTCTTCACTCGGGGTGTCCCCCATTGCACTGCCACCTTTTTATTTATTTATGCAGCCCTATATGCCTCTTCTCAGAGACATTCCTCTCTGACTAGCTGGACCTAGGCCTGGTGTGTTTTCCACCCCCGCTCCTGTAATGAGTAATGAGCGGGCTCCAACGACTGTACAAATATGAACATTATGACAAGCAACGCTCTGCAATACTTTGCTGTGCATGCTTGATATGAGACGTGGAAAGCTCTTTTAGACATTTATTTGTAGCCTATGTTTTAGTTCTGCTCTTCAGGCTTATTTTTAGATGTGTGACTGGCTGGCATTCTCGTTAATGTGCGTCTCTGCTCGGATGGGCCTTCCTCTGTGAACAAGAATTACTAGTTCAGTCCAAAGGGGAGGGAGCAGGTTTGAATTTTGAACCTTCCCGCTCAGAAGAGCGAGAGAGTTGCGGCCCTTTGGGAGTGGAAAGAATGTTGAGAGTGACGGTTGAAGCTGGGCTCCAGAGTCAGATAAAGCAAGTCTGTTTTTCTGGACAGTGGCCGGACTTATTTCCCTACTGCTGTTGCACATTGTGTCTAATTTTCTTCACCAGAGCAGCAGTTTGTCACTGTCTGACCTATGACTGTAAGAGTGACGTTAGGCAGACAGTCCTGCCAACGGCTGAAGCTTTTAACTCTTTCTGTGCCCACAAGTAGTCATATAAAAAATAGTCACGGCTTGTTCATGGTTGCTCACATCCTCCTTTTGAGATACGGGGGATCTTCCTGTGTCTTCCCACCAAATGGCTGAGAAAGCTGAGGTCATGGTAAACCCCTTATTGCCTTGCCAGAAATCTGCTCACGGCCCCCCTTGGGTTGTTGTGTCAGTAGAAAGAGAAGCTGGATGTCAGCTCCCTGCTTGTCGCTCTTCTTCTCTCCGTCCTCCAGTGACTCGCTCTCTCTCTAGTCGTTGTTATTGTGGTTGGCAGGAAGGCTTCTCACTGCCACAGAGGAATGACAGCAAAAAGAAAGAATAGAAGAAACGCACTAAGAGTAACCAAACTAAAGCTAATAAAAAGGAACGGGGACATTTGAGAAGGTTTTTCAAGATATACCAGTAGAAGTCACTCTCATTGTGACTTCGTAGACTGTGGCGGATCTTTCTTTCTGCCTCATAATGAAACACAAACATCCATCTGTGTGTGTTGTGTGTTGTGTGTTGTGTGTGTGTGTGTGTGTGTGTGTGTGTGGGCAGTAAACTCAGTTGTTTGCTCAAAGCTGTGGCAGAGGTTCTTTCTTTCGCCTCAGGGTTTGCGTTATACTGGTTGTAGATCACTGATCAGATCTTAACCTTTTTCAAAGACCATATCTTTGTTTCTTTATCCATCTACCCAACAACCCCCTCCCCCAACCCCGGCCTCTGTATGAAGGCCAGACGTGATGCTATCACAAGAGGAATACAAACACATTCTTCTGACATCCTACTCCACCTTCTCCTCACTGTCTGTAGAAGAGCAGTAGATAGTGAGGAGCAAACACAAGATAAGCTTCTGTTGAGTATAAGTTAATGCTAAACTCAGTGGGGACATTCCACTCAATGTCAAAAACGTCTGTCATACATCACGCTTACAGTCTTCTTTTGAAGTAGGTAATCAAAATGACCAGCTGTTACCAATATAATAATATATAATATATTTATTTCAGTTCAGCCATGAATCCCGTGTTCTCTTTGGCATTGTTTGGCTGTCTAGACAGAGTGCTATATATATTGTCTGGGTGATTTACACAGTAGCTCCACACTGGACCCTCTCCACTGACCCCTGACCTCTCCTCTCACTTACTGGTATGCACAAACACAGCGTAAAAAAAATAATAAAAATTCCTCAGATTTATGTGTATTCCTTTTTAAAGGCCCACATACCACTCTTTTGTCTCACGTTGGATGCAAACAGACAATCAGAAATCACTGACGGTTAGCAAACGTCCCCTGCCGTTTAATCAATCCTCACCCTCTCACCTACCCTTGAGCAGGGAACTTATACTCACACACACACACTACTCTTGAGGATAGAGGAATTCTGTGCGCTGCTGTTGCTTAGTAACGACACAGCTCTGTGCTGCATCCTGGGTGTGTTTGCCGGTGGCTGCTTAGGGATCCTCTCACAGCTAGCTACAGTGTGTGTATATATATATATGTATATATATGTATATATATATATATGTATGTATATGTATGTATGTGTATGTATGTGTATGTATGTGTATATGTATGTGTATATGTATATATGTGTATATGTATATATGT